ATAAACAGTAAGTATTTTTAAGGCGCAATTAATATTTTTTCTTAAATAAGGGTTTGTTATGTTGAGTATCAATAAGTAAAAATGTCGAAGACTGCATAACGTTGTGATTTAAAGATAAAAAATAAAGAATGACTGATTATAATAACGTTTTCTTCATTTTTTCCTGAAAACATAATCCTTGTAAGGAAGTTTCGGTTTCGGCCCAAACTGAGACCATTGCCTTTCGTTTGGACACTATTTCTTTATATTTTATATGCAGGATTTCTGGAAGTGGCAGCAACCGAAGAAATAGCATGTGCTGGCATGTGCCTAAGATTATCATTGAACCATTTAAATGGTGTGTTATTTAAAGGAGTGACTTTAACTCACAGGTAATGACGATCAACAAGATTCTCTAATTAAGTAATTATAAGATTAGCTAAACTACCAATATTAGGTGTTTCTTTCGTTGATCTGACAATGTGCACTAAATGTTGTGGTGCCAACTCTTGTTACAGCTGCCGGACTAAGTCATGGCCGGTGAGAAGCCCCTCCCTTAAGATGTGCAGTAAACGTGTAGAAATCTTATCAGTCTGTTAGATTATTCAATCCATAAACATCCAAATTCAGGACCGTATTCAGTTAGTGATGGAGTTTAAAAGTGAATTGTATAAACATATGCAATTTTACGACCCAAACTTTACGCAGATACGATTTCTCCCACCCGCCATGACTCAGTCCGGTAGCAGTATACCTAATATAGTTATGATGAAATCAAAAGTAATTATGACATTTGATAGTTCCCTCATAATGTCCGATGGATTTAGAAAGTTTACATTGAAATCACCAAAAATAATGATATTTTATAAAGCAGATGTAAATTATTCAGTAATTGTTCAAACATAGTTATGAATATATTAAAGTTACCTGTGCAGGGTCTGTAGAGTACTACAATATGTTTTTTTGAGGGATTTCAATGCTACAAAGCTCGCAATCCATTTCTTTACAGTATTTCTGCACATTTATCAATTTTATTCCAGCAATATCTTTCCTTATAAAAATATCAACACCGCCATGCCCATATTCTTGACAGACACATTGTAATCAGTTAGATTACCAGATTTTATTATATCAATGTTGAGCCAATGTTCAACGAGGCAAACGACTTTGTATTTATAATAATCTAAGAACAAAGATAGTTCATGTACTTTGTTTGACAAACATTGGAAGGTGACGACAAATTGTTAACTCACTTGTATTCATCATGGGTGGTTGAGGATTATTAACACTGTTCGCCTGATTTGTCAGTCTTGGGGCACAACCTTACTCAATCTCAGATATAAACTATTTTAAAAAAACTGATAAGAGTATAATAACAATTAAATATAAAATTACCTGAAGTCTTCATGTATTCAGGAAGATTATCAAAAATGTTTGGATTAATGTATTCTGAATGAGTGTGAGCCACTATAAACTCTCATGGGTAACATAAAGGATTACTTGATGCACTCACCTTGGTCTACTCACCTGGTCTAGAATTATGGTTTGAAAATAAATTTTATAATAAAAAATTGATTTTACTAGCTCAACTAGCCTGCATAAATCTGTAATATCTACACTTTTTATTAACCATGATTTTAATTCAATTTTGTATCATTCAAATATTTAGATGCAAATGAAATTTATGTTAAATGTGAAAGAAAGTATAAAATGGTAAAATTCGTACCCTAACTGAAGAAATTGGATTCCTTCGTTTAGCAGTTTTGAAAACTCTTTTTTTCAAAGACTCTTCTGAAGCCTTTTGGAAAGTTCCAGCTTCTTCCTGTTCATATGCTTCATCATCATCTTTATCATAATTGAGTTCACTGGAAGCCCTACGTTTTCCAGCCATCTGAAACTGCTTAATAGTTTAACGCTACCAATGTTTCTCCATACATACCTGAAATTTTGTACATGTAGACACTAATTATTAAAAATTATCTTCGTTCTTATTAATATCACTAGATAGTTCCAACAATCCGCCAAAAAAACAGAAAATTGGGAAACAATTATGTACCATTCTTCTTCTCGTTATGAGAGAGCTACAATAGTGGGGTTACGGGTTACTGTATTTACGTTAAGATTTAGTAAGTGACATCTAGGTATAATGATTCGAACATCATAAACAGGTAAAACATTGCTATATGATATTGCTATAAAGAATCGCAATTTATTGTTTTGTTGTTGTATTCGTTTATAGGTATTGTGAAATGTGTCCATGCAAAACATTCTGTTACTAGCAAGTAAAAAACTCATAGTGGCAAGTATGAGTAAAAGAAGGTTAAGATGTTAATATCATTTTTAGAATTTGTAAAATTTCAGCCATAATGAAAAATGTTGATGAAAATTGTCTCTCTGAGATATCTGGGACCACATCAAATAATTAAGAGTATAGAAGAATACAGGCATATTTCCTATTGTATATTAATCTACAGTCAACGCTGAAACACAATCATTTAGAAACTTGGTTAACATTAGAATTACTTTATAGTCTCTATTCACCAACAAATACTAACCCTAGGTCAATATTGGTTATAACCAGGCACAACTAACCTCGATAACCAATCACAAAAGAGGATATTTTCGAATTGGTACCCAGAACGCTCGGAATGACCTTAAGAAGGCTCTAAACGGTCAATGCATTTTGATCAACAGCTTGAATCAATCGATTGACTCAAGCGTGATTGACCGTATAGAACCCTTTTTGACGCTTGAAGCGAGGCTTGATGTTGATTGATAGAAAGTTTGAATGACTCAAGCGGTCGAAGAAGGGGGTTACGGTTTAGGGCAATTTTCGTCAAGCATTGCGTCAGTCACTAGGTGACCATGGTGTCCGCTACGGAAAGTGAGCTTCTCGAAAATTCTGAGCGGGTATTCATTAACCTGTTGATTGAATTATATCGCGATTGTCCAGAATTATGGAAAGTGAAGAGCAAGGACTATTACAACAGAAACAACTAGACACTACTGAGCATTTAGTGGGACTAGCGACGTAATATTCCAAGCGGCCTGATACTGAAGAGGACATTATGGCCAAGGGGTGGGCTATGAAATTGTAAAAATTACCTTACGTTTTGCAGAAAAAAATATTAATGACACGCTTTTTTGACACCTTGACAAGGGGAGGAGTGCGTTTTGTTCAACCCATGCTATCTTCATCATCATCTTCGTCATCGTCGTCTTGTTCAACTAATTGGCAGGAGTATCCCAACTCAGCACAGCTTACCTCAATGAGAACTTGTGTTTTTAATAATTTGATATATTCATTGCGCTTTTCCTCATTGAGAAATAAAGAAATTTATTTGGAAAATAATTACCTGAATGTTTTTCTCCAATGCCTTCGTGATTGCTGGGTAAGTTTCCATTATGTTGGACTCCAGAGTTTGAGGAGCAATGGCGCAAGCGAATTTGAGATCTTCTAAATCTATGCCAAACGCTAATAGGTATCTCAGTCTTTGGCTTGCAGGAATCGCTTCACGCATATTTGTATCCTTCTTCTCGATGTCGTGCCGAACTAATTCCAGCAGATAATCAAAACTGTTTCCGTCCATTCTCAAAAAGTTCTTGTAGTCATCTGGTTCCAAATCCCGCAGAAAATGTAATAAATGTTCATGAGAAAAATGGTTTCTCATTTTGTACTACTCCTTGAACCACCGTCGTTTCTTTTTCTGTTTTTTTTCCGCTTGAGGGCAACTAATGTGAGGGAGAGGAAAGTCGCATCCGTGTTCGAAACCATTGCTCACCAAAATGAACCACCTGTGAACGGAAAATGAATGTGCACTGGTCCCATTTCTGGTGAGAAGGTTTTGATCAAAAGATTGAAGGGCTGATTGCAGTTGATTGAAGCGCGCGTCAGTCGATTGACTCAATCGTTTTATCAAGCAGATTGATCGTTTAGGGCCACCTTTAAACTATTAACTCTTGAAACTCGGATGAAATCGTTACATTGGTTTCAATGACGACAAAATCACGTCTAGTGCGATCAATGTAACGCCCACTCAATCGAGCCTTAACTCGAATGCAGTTTTGATGATTTCAAATGTTGCCTCTCTTGAATATATCCAATGTTGCCACCATAATATTTCTGCCAACTGTAATACATAAGATACCTTCTAATATGTATTCGAACATACCAAAACCTTTTAATCTATATTCGAATATACGAAAGAAATTTATGTAGGGATGCTTTCAGTCCAGTTGCAAAAAGCATTCTGAAATTGTTTTTCATCGTGTTATCGTGTTTGAACTGTAATGCAACCATTGATGTTTGAATAATTAATTTTCTTCTAATTGTTGTGTTCTGCTGTTGACATATGTTTTTTCATGATGGTGTTAGAGTATATTGCAAATATCAAAACGCAACACGACGTGTTTCGCTATACAATGGCTTTTTGAGGCGTGTCCTTACTCGATGGTATAGACACGCCTTAAGAAGCTATTTCATGGAGAAACACGTGTTGCGTTTTTGTGAAAAAGTTTGGTGAAAATCTCACAATAAAGTATTTCTTGAATACGTCATGGATTTTCATCAAGTCTCGGCCGATTCCATCATATAATCTAATTTAATTGTTGTGCACTGTTTTTGACATGTTTTTATTATGCATTATTTGTTATATTGATAGTAATCAAAATAATGTCAATTCAGGCGAGTTCTTAAATTCGACAGAAAATTTCTGATAGATTGACTCAACCAATAGAAACGCACTAAAAGTTCGAATGGACGAATAGATGAATCTGTCGGATTGATCGGTGAATTTAGAAAATAACCATCAGAGGCAACACTGATTTTCGTTGACTGCTTGGCAAGTGACTGTCGGGCACATGCGTAAAAAGACCAATAGAATCTTTGAATTTGAATTTTGAGGTATTTTGTTTACGAAATATATCTTAGGTATGTATTGTCAAAATCACCTTATATAAACAGGGTAATTCTTGAATTTTATATCATAAGCTCATTAGTAATCGCTGATCAGTAAGTTTCATTTTCGAGTATATTAATTTCTTATTGACCTCTGCGCAACGCGCGTTGAACTACCGTCAATATGGCGGATATTTATTAAAAGTACATATTTACAAAATGATATGTGAATTCTTGTGTTATTTTACTGAGATACGTGAAATTATTGGGGTGAAAACATTTGCCATTGAATGAAGCACCAATTGGACTGGTAGTAAGTATGTATAGTGTCTTTCATAAAGGATATTTTCCATTGTAGGTTGTTAAGTTTGAATTTGAATACAATGTTATCAGCAAATTCAAAATTTGTATTTGAATTTGAAGGTTATACGTTATTTCTTCAAATGGCCAACTAGCATTTATTTATTATGATCATTATTTTTTCTTTGGAAGTTTCCCATTCTTTATATAGTAATTCATAAGTAGAAAGCCAAATAGAGACTTTTTTAAAGATCAACTCTTCAAAAAAATCCTGTTTTCGAAAACTCAGTTTCTTTAGCTGGTATCAAAGCAATTAATTTAAGATTTGAAACTGTTTCAACGATTTTTTGTCATTCAAATGTTGGATATTTTTAATATTTCAGTGAAATGGACTAGATTTGCTTCAGTTACATGTATTCAAAAAGTAAGCAAAAACACAATTGAATCGTCTTTCAGACCACCTCATATATCACTGAAAACGTATTGAAGAGGAGTGTTCTGAACAGTGACTTTGCAATTTTCAATTTTTATGTAATAAAATTGCATTTATTTTCAGGTGAACCAACCCTCATATCGCTGAGTCTCTGAAATGACTAACGAAAACGTTTTTATCAAACAAGAAGTGGCCGATGATGAAATGGATGTTGACGAAGACTTACCCACTTTGGGTCCTGCAGCATTGGGTCTTCAGCGAGTTGGAACTGTACCCCCCCCAAAACCCACTCCAACCCAACCCACTCAAGTTTTAAATGCTCGAGGAATGCCCGCTAGGATTCGAAAAAAGAATAAGCTATTTTTCGATGATGATATTGTTAACACTCCACATCACAGGGTTACAAGTGCAAAGAAACACAAACCTTCGCCAGTTAAAAAACAAACTCCTGTTAAAATTAAGTCAGAAAAAAATGAATATTTGAAACCCACGCCAAAGAAATCCAGTAAGGAAATCAAGGATGAACCCAAGGAAAATTCCTTACCACCTCTGAATACTCCCGATAAAAAAGTTGGACAAAAAATCGGACATCGCTTGAGAAATTTGCTTAAACTCCCCAAAGCTCATAAGTGGGTATGTTACGAGTGGTTTTACAGCAATATAGACAACTGCTTATTTTCTGGCGAAAATGATTTCATGATTTGTTTGAAGGAATCATTTCCGGAATTAAAGACCCGAGAATTATCCAGGATTGAATGGACTAAAATTCGTAGGATGATGGGAAAGCCTCGCAGGTGTTCCCAAGCATTTTTCAATGAGGAGCGGCTCGAACTAGAGAAAAAAAGAAAAAAAATTAGGGCATTGCAGCAACGGAAAGCTACAGATTTGACAAGTTTCAAGGATCTCCCACCTGAAATTCCAATGCAGTTAGTTATAGGAAGCAAAGTAACTGCTAGGCTTCGGAAACCACAAGATGGTCTCTTCACGGGTAGTATTGATGCTGTTGATACTTCCAACAATACATATAGAATCACTTTCGAAAGGCAAGGGCTGGGTACTCACTCTGTACCTGACTACGAAGTTTTATCTAACGAAGCTCCTGAAACGATATCTCTTCAAAGCTTTCGAGCTAAGTTTCGCCCGAGAAACAGCGCCCCACTCACACCGTTGAATAACAAGAGTCCAATTTTGAACAACCTTAAATTCAGAAAAGATCCATTATTATCTGGTTCGATGCTCAACAAACCAGTTCTCCCTATCAATACAGAGGAAGGAAAAATAGGCGGATTTCCGGCAAAACTTCTAGAGAGGATGGTTTTGGTTACGAAAATCCTCAATGTAAAAAACTCAAAAATAAAACTCATCAAATGCATGAACTCCGAAGCAGAAAAAATGAATTCTTTCGATCAAACGATTCCGGAGGAGTTTGAGAGACGATATGCGAGTATTTTAATAGATTTAGAAAAACTCAATATCGATTTGCAAATGTACCTGGATGAGATGCAGATCTACTGCCAACAAATAGCCCCAGAACCTAGCGTAGCTGCAATGTTAGCACCGTCACATTTACGCGAAAAATGTAGGGAGGAAGCTACGGACATTGTCGATAGGCATAATATGATTATTGCTGGGGATAAGAGTTCTTGTCAGAACCCTTTGATTCTCGATTTAATAACCGATCTGACAGCTCTTCTGTTGCAAGTGAAATGCTTGTCAGATTCTGAGCAGAATTCGTATGAACTCCAAGTACTTCAAGGCACTATGGAGCAGATTAAAAGGAAATTGAGCACTAGTAACCAGCCAGTTTTTCAGAGTAATATTGAGGTCCATGTGAAACAAATTGAATTTGGCTTGAACCAGGTGAATATAGACAAACTTGTTATAGGGACGATGCAAACTTGATGTTTTATCAAAAAAATATTTGATTAATTTTAAACTTTTGTTTTAATTTGATAAACGGTTGTCACAACAATGTAGAAAAAGAAAAACTTTCCATAATGAATGTTGTATAAAAAAGGGACAGCTCAAAGATTCTTAGAAGAGGTCTAAAGTTATATGGTATTTTTTATTGTTCTTGATAACAAATCTTTCTCCTCTCTAAATTTTGGTTATCATTATATCATCAGTAACTAAAGTTGTTATACAAGGATAATGTAAGTCAGCGTGGGGGATTCAAAAATTGAAAAAAAAAGAAATTTGTTGCTCAATTCTCTTTTGAAATCCTTCCAAGTGAATGATATATTTTATGGTATCAAACACTTGAAATAAAAACATACAATGTATGAGAAAAATTATTTTGAAATGTTTGGCTTTCTAACAAATTTCATGCAATACAATTTCTAATTTTTTCAACAGAATAAATTAATTTTTCTGTTTGTCTACTACATATAAATTCATTTAATTGATGAAAACCAACTGCTATAACAGTATACAGTTGGAACCAAAAATAATACACATGTGTCATCAAATTGTTCATCTAGTATAAGTTGACAAAATAATGAAAAGGAAAACTGGATGCTGTTCCAAACAACCAACCTTATAATGAAGAATTGTTTTTATTTTTATATATCGCTGAAAAGTAACCGCCTTTTAGGCCAATTTTATAAAATTCTTCAGCACAGTAATTGAATAGAGATACTTCTAATTTGAGGTTGAAATTCATAATTATGATTTAAAATTTGACTACCGAGAAATATATACACCCATTTTATAATTCGTAAAAACAACTATTTGTGTGTTATAAGACAATTGGAACTGTAGCAGCTTTTCAACAAACAGCATATAAACTATCAAACGATAGTAATACGTCAATTGGTAGAAAGACTACTCGCGTTTATACAGCTATTTCCCTTCAATGTACTAAGTTCTATCTATCATCCAAACGGTCCGAGACCTCTTCTGTTTTATTTTCTTTTTGATTTATAGAAGGAAATAATGCTATAAACAAGTACGTGTTTCATCATATATTTTTTTGATGGTACATGTGTATTCTTTCGTTGTCCTCAAGAAAGTAGGTGCACTGTTAACAGTGGTTGATTAATTATGAGGACTTACAATTTAAAATTGGTTATTCTGCCAAGGTTTCTGTATGCCAAGGCTTATTTATTTCCAAATTATTTAAAAGTACTTTTCTGTATTATGAATTGAAATGAAATACTTTTATATGAAATACTTTATATATATTTTCCCAATAAGGTAGAGAAAGGGTTGGAAAGAGGTAATATGGATGTGATTTTACATTTTATCCAAGAAAATGTATCTCTAATGTTTTTCCTTTTTTTACTCCAATATTGCTTACCTGTTCAAGCATAGACTTCTGTGCAATATTATTTTATATTTTTATTGTGTGCTGTATAATTCTAGTTTATTACTATCCTATGCTTTTTATATTTCTAATATATTTTGTATATTTTGTGTAAATATATTTTATAAATATATTTTTCATTGCTCTGAGTCTGATAAACGTATTGAAGAGGAGTGTTCTGAACAGTGACTTCGATTAGTAAGATTGAGTAAAAAAAGTTATTAGGAACGGGAGAAACTAATCCATATTTCGTGAGAATCTACGAATTTTATCTAAGATGAATCATACTTGTATTTTTTGTGATTTTTATTCACTTTGACGGGATGGGAAAGGTATACGCGGGTAAGTGTGCGCAGTATTCAAATGCGTATACTTACCCCATCGAATGAATAAGAGTATGTTTAGCATTTTTTTGTACAAAAAGTCTAAACTCAAGAGCAGATCAATACAGCTAAAAAGTAAATTGAAGATGGATTTTCGAAACGAGAAGCAATAAAAATTGTTGAGACCGATGAAAGTATTTCGAGAAAACGTTTGAAACTTCACTCTACTGCAACATCTATGGGAGGATTTCAATCAACATTCACTCGTGAACAAGAGGTTTCAACTATGTGTGACGGCTATTTTCTATCTGAAAATATTGTCAGATCTTCAGGAAGGAATTTATGGGCATTGCAAAGCTAGTGAGAAGATGTTTTATGGTCTCAGTCCCAACGCATTGAGGAAATTGGTTTATGCTGAAGCAAATAAAATGCAGAATAGTTTTTATGAAATATACTTCCTATAAGCCCATTACTGATGGCAACACACATTCAGACACGACGAACAAATGTTAGCAAATCGGAAATAATAGCTAATAGTCCGCTTGAAAATCTGTTAGAAGAGAAACAAATGGATATCGACCAATAATCTAAGAAAGTTAAAACATCCAAAGTTGAATTTGGAAACAAAAAGCATGCCAAAGAACAGAAATGTAAAGGAAGATAAAACCACAGACATTAGAAAAATTAATCTGCAGAACAAAAGTAACTACTAGTGTTAGTTATGTCGAGAAATGTACAGAAATAGAGCTGAAGTGCGGATCAAGTGTGAAATTTGTAAGTTCTGGTGGCACGAAGCCGGCACCAGTTACGAGATAGGCTTATTTAGGTACTTGTAATCTATGTATAGTAGTAGGTAAATGAGGATTCTGAAATGCGTACAGTTTGTCGGTGTTGTGTACACTTAACCGAATGAGTGCGCACAAATAGAACTGTGACATCCTGTATATAGTTCATTAGTGTAGCACTCTGTACATAGCACTTTTATATATATCATCTAGGAATCGAGGAGCAGTATGTCCAGGTGAGCGAGAGAATAAAGATCGGAAAATAGGGAGTTGTTTTATTTAAGTTGAATACATCACAAGTGGCGACGAGTGATATTCTGAGTTATAAAAAGTGCAAATGCCACTGAGCGAATTGACTCTTTGTTGTGTATGACTCTGTGTAAGGCCTTTTCCATGTCTTCTTTGGAAGTAGAACCTCTGTTTGTTTTTTTCTTATACGTTCTCATCCTAAAAGCAAGTGATATTTCAGTAAACTGCATGTTTGTTTGAGCGGGGTAAGTTGTAACATGTTAAATTTTGCCCCGAGCAGTTTGTTACAATTCACCCCGAGCTTGATTTTATAAGAATTACCTCGGTAAATTTTAAAGAAAACATCAATACACTAAAATACGTATATACTGTGATCAGGCAATGTGCAATGACTAGTTTCTGTCAAAAAAGCGAAAGCTTCCCCGGTTTGTGATAGTAGTTAATCGAAGTCAAAGTGCTAGATCAAAATTTACCTACGTGCTCAAAATATCAACCATCTCAGAAATAAACATAACACCGATATATAGCGATTGGCTGCATAAGTGAAACTGGCACTGATAACATTCTCTAGAAGCCCGTGCATGATGCGGGGTTCTAGGGAATGTTACAACCTGCCCCGGTCTCCCCTACTTATCTCAATTATGAGATATCAATCAATAAAAAGTTGTGGTTTAAAAACTACACGACATAAGTACAGGGATGATTCGGGTATCCCAAGGGGTGCTTTATATATATCTTTAGACTCCCTCTTGATACTGATTTCAGAGACACCCTAGAATTGTGACGAATTCGATGTTTTCCCCACTCTCATTTGAAAATATTTACCGGTATTGCTATTGAATAGCCTAATACTCATTGAATTACTCACGCAACAGAAGACTGACCTCGTAGAAGTGAAAGTAACCAGACGATTAGTAACTGGTAACAATGCTGAAGTGACATGTGGATGTCTTGTGAGGCAAATATACTATTCCATCATATACAATGAATACCAATACAATTATTTTCAAAATATTGGTTATTATTATTTTATACTTTATCACTCATTCTAATGGTAAGTTTCGTTATCTTATTTTTACTAGGTTACTGTGGTAGACGATCATTGAACTCTCTCCGCAAACGTCGTTCATAAAGTGACACAATTTTTTATTCAATGTACATTTTGCAATGACGAAATTATGCAGTTAATGATACTGATACTGAGATTCAATTTTCTGGATATTTAGAGATATATACCTAAACGAAACTGCATCACATGAAAGTACTAGTGCTATAAACACCGCTGTCAAAATATTGAAAGTTAGTTCATTGTTTATGTTAACTAATGACATTCTATAGTGAAAAATTCTCCAAGAAATATTATTTGACTTCTGTTGATATCGTCATTGATTTTTTACTTGAGAAATTAATTGACAATTTGAAAAAAATGCCTACACATTATTTTTTGCTATCATTCTAGGAATCTCACAAAATTCCACTTTTGAGAGTTGTTGTTTGTATGGAGATGAAATCAAATTAATTTCACTCGCTAGATGGAGATTTTTGTTTTATGCATTGAAAGCGTTACTTTTCATTTTTGGGGGAAGCACATCACCAAAAAACTTGAGAAAACAGAAAAATGAATTTATATTTGTCTACTTTCAAGGTGAAACCTCTAAACACCTAGTAATAGATGAACGTTTTCGCTATAAATATCAACCAGGTATCACTTTGATCCATTCGATCATACAAATTTTACTACTTTAATATTTTTTTATTATTCACATTCAGGATTTCAATATGTTGATACTTCAGAGAATGAAAGTTAAAACTTCTGTTTGATCATTTTAGGAGAATAAAAGTTGAAACTCCTGTTTGATCATCATGTTTCCTGATTGTCAGATACTGGACTTGAAAAAGTACTAAAAATGAATGTGTGTGGATTTATAAATTATGAGAGGAGAATGACTTTGTCTTACTATATAAGTTTATCGATATTTTCTGATTGAATAATAACTATGTCATCAAAATATTACATTCAGTGTTTTATATACGAGTAAAAGCTGGAAAAATTCCTGGAAACAGAAATTTGGTGACAAAACACATAGGTATCTTCATTTCATCAGTTCGGACTTCCATTGTCTATCACCTTCAAACACACATATCTTCATGACATTTTTTCCTATATCTACATTTTCACACAAAATTATTTCGTCTTCATATGAGTAGAAACATAACACATTATATGCATTTCTTGTATATAAATCTTGTTACTGAATCCTTGAGTTTTCAACAATATCAATAGAAAATTTCTATCTTGAACTATTGCTACTAATAAATTAAAAGACAAACAAATAAATGAATAAATCAAAAATCAATATTCGAATATGTTGGTGATAAACTGGTTGTTAATGCAATAGCTGAAGAAACATGAAAAAATCATCAGCACTCTCCAATCTCATTGAATATTTCTCGTATATTTAGGTCATAGCGGACCTAAATATACCATTACTGAACTTACAAAATTTTTCAGCATTACAAAGATGCTTTTTATGCAGATCTAGAGGTGAACTGGGGAGCTGTAAAGATTCCTTTTCGGTAAATGTTACTAAAGTGGAAAATAAACAAGAAATTGGGATAGAAACCATACCGTGTGCCAGTGGATGGTGCGGTAAAATCGTCGAAAGTGAAAATTCTGCCAAGGAAGGTAAATAATTGTCTATTTATTTATTTATTCATTAATTCTCACCATCTTGTACAACATGCACTCGTATAACTCAGAACGTTACCCACACTCAAATTCCAAAGTAGAGATACAAAATAATGTCAAATTCACAGATTGTTGAAACCAAAGAACTGTTATTCAGCCTATTTTACTAACTGAACAGTGTACCTACTTTTCCTATTCGGATATACATTGACAGTACAATTCCGAGTTTAAAGTTAAAATTCTGAGATAATAATTGAAATTTCACGATTGAAATCAAAATTTCAAGATTGAAATCAAAATTTCACGTTTGATGTCGAAATTTTATGTTTGAAATCGAAATTTTGAGTTTGTAGTCTGAATTTCGATATTTAAGTCTCAATTTTAAAATTAAGTTCGGAATTTCTAGATGAAAGTCGAAATTCACAGTTTCAAATCGAAATTTCGTGTTTGAAGTCTAAATCATGATATTAAAGTCTCAATAGCAAGTCAAATATCCAAGATGAAAATCGAAATTTAGAGTTAAAAATCGAAATTTCGAGTTCAAAGACTAAATTTTGAGATTGAAGTCTCAATTTAGAAATTCCGATATGAAAGTCGAAATTTAGAGTTATAAATTGAAATTCCGAGTTCAAAGTCCAAATATCGAAATTGAAGTCTTAATTTCTAAATTAAATTCGAAATTCCGAGAAGAAATTCGAAATTTGAAGTTAAAAATCGAAATTTCGACTGTAAAATAAATCATTGTCACTTCCTGACAATAATAAAGATTGTTTACAGATTAACTATGAATATTTCTGGGGTAGACTGCGGTTGTGTAATGTGAATTTCAGATTTCATCTAACCCCAAATAAATTAAAACTGTTGACCTCGACCAGATAATTTTCTCGAGATAATTTATCTAGTTGAAGCTGGGATGATTCTGCAACGTTACATGCCTGACGGACTGCGAATAGCCATGATGCTCTTTAGGTGGCTCGGGGAGTTATTAACATTGCCTACCCAGGGCACGACGCTAAATGACCAATGCAGTCGATGCCGATGACATCCAAAAAAAAACGAAGGCTGTTATATCAGGTCATGCAGCTGGCCATTCTAGGGTACCAAGTTTACTTAGTCACTTTCAATCAGCTATTCGTAATTAAGAAATACCTCATCTTGCTGAAACCTGATATTAGTTGAAGACTTATTCGAGTTTGACACCTGGAGCGAGTATAATATAATATTTTTCTCAAAGTTATACCAACAGTTTGTTTGCAGATTTCTAAAACGAATATGACACTGCTAATTATTCGGAAACGGCTAATTTTTCCAACAATGAAAAACTATTAGATGAAGAAATGAAATATTATTAAATGAGTCATCATCAGACGTCCTCTCTATCTGAAAAAAAAAGTTGATAGCGCTTTCTCGGCGACGAGTGACGCAACACTATTGCAGACTTTTTTTGGAAAAAGGTTTTCCCGTTTGGTCACTATAAAGTTCGAGACAAGACGAAACGAGACAAAAGACAAGAATATCCAGTGATGTCGGCATCACTATCTAAATGATTTACTCATTGTTTTGTTTTTTCATTTTTTGATATCATTTCGTTTTTTTAAATAACTCATATAAATATTGTTAATCATATCAAGCCATGTCATTTTGTTGATAGGGATGGTCAATAATTCGAATTATTCAGAATACGATGTTACAGTTTTAGATTTGATGATAGAAAATATGAAGAGAATTGAAAAATTACAGAAAGGGTGTTCCATCCCTATTGAATCGTCTGAGTTTGAAAGAGTGATTTTTAGTAACTGGCAAGTAACAGTACATTTTTTTTCAGAGTATGGTGTTGCTACTCAAAGAATTTGTCTCCAAAGGGGTCCGTCTGATAGCGAGGATCGTTGTGCTTATACCAAATGGAACTATAAACGAGTTTTGATGTGTTTCTGTAAAGGAGATTTGTGTAACTCATCTCCAGGGATCAAAGTGAATCAATCTCTTTTATTTTCACTTGTTGTAATTTTTTTCATGAGACTGATTTATTAAAAACCCAACGAAAATCTCCCAAACTGTTCATTACATTTCTCCGTTCAATATATTTGTTGGTGATATCGAGTCTAGATTAATGACGACTTTTTCTCATATTCAGTTGACTGAAAATTATTCACTGTTTTATTAGTTCTAATGATTGCAAAAGTTTTATTCTAAATTCAAATATTGTGGCAAAAACTCCGTCAGTTTTCTATATCGAGGGTACCAGTGCCATTTCACAATCAGAAATAACAAATTTTTCGGTTANATTTTTTTGAAAAACAAATATCGTTCGAGGTTAACGGACGCCCACCTTGAAGACACACTTCGAATTAGCTGTTCCTATCGAGAACCAAACTATAAAAAACTGGCTCAAGACCGTTGGTGTAATTTCTCACATTAATTTTAGGTCTTGTGTTTTATAATTCAGAATTTGATTTGAAACCTACATGATACATAGGTAGCACTTAATTTTAATCAGTTGTTTTTTTCTGGACCTCGTCAAAATTTTCCCACAGAAATTCGGACCACACCTAAAACTACTTGCCGTCCCCTGCTTTAGTTAAATATTATCTAAGTTCCAATTTCTTCAAGGTTGACGAATTGGATCATTTAATTATCTGTTTCTGTTTAAACCCTACCAACGACAACCCTCAGAAGTCGAAACTTGTGCGAGCTAAGGATTAACGAGGTCTTACATTTTAAAGTGTGATTCCTAACACGGGTTAGACTATAACAAGTGAAAATCGATCGTTCAGACTGGGGCTTGAACCACCGACCAACATGGCAGTCAATTCGAGTGTGTGAACAAAGCACCCACGTCGAACCGCCTGGCTCCAGACTAAGCAAGCATAAGTATATTTATCAAACTTCCACAACATGTCAAAAAACTGGAAAGAGAGTTAGAATTCTCAATCATAAGATGCATCGAATTAAATATTTTTGTGATATGTGTATACAGACTCCCTACATCTAATGTGATGAATTTTTTGAAGAGATTGGAGGTTCTTCTAGATCAGCTTTCCTTAGATGCATCCTTGATGCGAGAGAAACGCTAACAAAAAGTGACTTTTCAGTAAACACAGTAAGCCCAACTTTTTGAAGAGTCTGACTGGAACAACGTCCTACATTTAGAAAACCCCCTTAGTGAATTCTATAAATTACTTTCTGTGAATTTCAATTGTGCATTTCCATTCGACATTTAAAAAATAAAACCAAAAAAACCTTGGATTACAAAAGATATAAAAGTATCTGGAAAAAATATGCGAGCACTGCATCACATTCGAATCACGAACTATTTTAATAAGTATAGGAGTATATGTAGAAAAGTAATAAAAAAAGACAAAAATATGTACTTATATTACTCCAAGAATAAACAAAAATGAACATGAAATATTATTAATGAATTGAGAGGAAAGCAAATGGCTGAGTCAAAAAAGCCAACTCTTAACTCAGATGAATTGAACTCATTTTCTTGTTTTGTGGCAATTAAACTGGCTGAAAAAATCATTGTAAAAAACGACCCGATGTCATACTTGAAGAATATTGCAGTACATTCTACTTTCTTCTTCACACCTACGGATATCTATGAAATAAAAGAAATGTTTAGTGAGATGAAATATAAATATTCGGTGGGGTGGGATGCTATTTCGTTAAAAATTTTGATAACCCTTCCCGACAGGGCTTTGAGTGCGTTGGCGGGGGCAATAAATTTCTCATTCTCTAAAGGTATGTTCCCATCGTGTCTGAAAATTGCCACAATCATTCCTCTACATAAAGGAGGCGATCTTGACAANAACAATTTAATAAATTCATTTCAGTTTGGCTTTCAGTTTCCTAAAGGTACACAAGACGCTATATTTTCACTCCTGGAAAACCTGTACACCAATCTTAATGAACGAGAAACTGTAGCGGCCATGTTTTGTGACCTAACCAAGACCTTCGATTGTGTAGACCACATGCTACTTCTTCGCAAGCTAGAAGTTTACGTATTTAGAGGATCTGTATTATTTTGGTTTGAGACGTACCTTTCTCATCGGCGGCAAAATATTCTATTAGGTGGAATTTCATCAGAGGAACGTTTCATTGGCAGTGGGGTCCTACAAGGTTCCGTTTTGGGACAGGTGTTGTTTCTCATTTATGTCAATGACGTCCATGTTGACATAAGTGGTAAATTCACATGTTCCGCTGACGACACCACTATCCTCTGACATAGCAATACCGCCTCAAATTTACTTGATCAAATCATCGTCGACATAAGAAGAGTGAATGAGTAGTGTGATTCCAATCTTGTATCATTCAACATCGAAAAAACAAATGCGGTCACGTTTAGATGTAACATAGAGGAAGTACCTACACTTGGAAAACGTAAAAATTGAAAATTTGGAGAAAAACAAAAACAAATTTTTAGGGTTCTTCATTGATAAAAATCTAAAACTTGATTCCCATGTCGACTATTTATGTAAAAGACTAGCAGCAGGATGTCATGCAGTGAGAGTTGTTGCAAGAAAGTTAGATACTACTAATACAAGATCAGTTTATTTTGCACAAATTGAGTCCTATTTATGTTATGGAATTTGTTTCTGGGGAAATTGTGCACGATTCCGTTTCAATATTCTCTCTACAAAAAAGATCCATCAGATATTTTGCAAGGCTAGCTACAGGGATTCATGCCGCCCATCATTTACTGAGTAAATGATGAATTATATTGGGGTGCATCAGGAGTCTGTACTGGGGTCACTTATGTTGGTCATTTATAAATGATATGCCTGATATGTAGATATGTAAAGCAACATATAAATAAATTAATGAATAACTTGTATTACCATTCATATTACTACTCATATCCTCAGAGAGGTACCGCGTTACTGAAAGAGAGGTCCTCTCTTTCAGTTACAAAGCACAATTTGTGGATATTTGAAAGATTTCCAGACTACGCAGGCATAAGGATATTTATCAAACTTCCACAATATCTCAAAAAACTGGAACTCAAAAAATTCAAAAAAGAATTAAAGACATTGCTGTGTGCAAAAGCTCATTCCTCCATTAGTGAATTCTTGAATGATGATTTTTGATTTAATTGTTATGTGTGATGAGTTACACATGTTTGTCAATTCTTTTGTACTATTCTATTATATTTTGTTGAGTGTAACAGTATGTGACGTGTACATATATCTTAAGAATGGCTGCTAATTAGCGGGTGCGAATGATTTTGATTTTTTATTTATGCGAATAATGATGTTGACAACTGGTTAAAATGTGTCACGTTCAGTTCGTATTTGACTGCGGAATGAGAGTATCGCGTTTCAGAGTCACATGTTTGCCGCATTATGCAATGGATATTTACGCGAAAATATTATTTAAGCGAAGTTCCATTATCAACTTTATTGAAATTCATTTCCATGTGAAAGGCATTACGATTAGTAAGATTGAGTAAAAAAAGTTATTAGGAACGGGAGAAACTAATCCATATTTCGTGAGAATCTATGAATTTTATCTAAGGTGAATCATACTTGTATTTTTTGTGATTTTTATTCACTTTGATGGGATGGGAAAGGTATACGCGGGTAAGTGTGCGCAGTATTCAAATGCGTATACTTACCCCATCGAATAAATAAGAATATGTTTAGCATTTTTTTATACAGAGAGTCTAAACTCAAGAGCAGATCAATACAGCTGAAAAGTTAATTGAAGATGGATTTTCGAATCGAGAAGCAATAAAAATTGTTGAGACCGATGAAAGTATTTCGAGAAAACGTTTGAAACTTGAACTTGTTAGATCTTCAGGAAGGAATTTATGGGCATTGCAAAGCTAGTGAGGAGATGTTTTATGGTCTCAGTCCCAACGCATTGGGGAAATTGGTTTATGAATTTGCTGAAGCAAATAAAATGCAGAATAGTTTTGATGAAATAATACAAATGGATGAAAAAGACTGGGTCTATGGGTTTATGATACGACACCTCGATTTAGTTTTAAAGCAAACTACATCTACGTGCATGGCAAGGGCCATTGGTTTCAATCAAGTGCAAGTAGAAATATGTTACATGAATTTGAAAAAGTGTAAATAAAAATCTAAATTTTCTCATGGTAGAATATATAATATGGATTAGACTATTATCAGGACAGTGCCAAAAAACACCTAAAGTCGTATTACTGAAAGGAAAGAGAAATGTTAATAAAATTGTTTTTGGAGAACGTTGTCGAACTATAACCGCTGTTTGCTATGTCAGTACAACTGGAAATTACGTGCTACCTGCATTAATTTTTCCTCGAAAAAGAATGAAGGGTGAACTCATGTATGGAGCACCATCTGGTTTTATATTTCCAGTGGCTGAAACATTTCAATGACTATACTTCACCATCGATCAATAATCCTGTGCTATTTCACAAATTGCAACCTTAGGATAGAGCTGTCTACAATCCTCTGAAGAATCAGTGTGCAATTAAAACTGATAAATGGATTGCACAGCATCCTGGTAGACCTATGCACAATTTTCAGTTACAGATATATTTTGTCCGTCTGCTGATGTTGTCCCTCTACTTCATGTTCTATAGATACAGTAAAAATTCAGAAGATGCAAAGCCATCAATCTGTTGCAACTTTTACACAAGAATCAGTTGATTCTACGTCTTCCAGAAACAGAAACACAACCAACTAAGAGTCATAGCATTTCGATTGTTGCTGAAGGTCATCAACAACCAAGTTCACCACTATCTAATGGAAAACATAACATCGAAACTATAGTTCTAATAAACAAAGCCAATGAATAATTAAACGCGTTTTCTTATCCAATGAACAAGATAGAAGAATTTTGGAGCAAACAAATTATACCGCCTTCTATTCTACGTGACATTTTGAATACTCACGAGTCTGATATTCGTTCAATCACTTCCTATAAGCCAATTACTGATGGCAACACACATTCAGACATGACGAAAAAATGTTAGTAAATCGGAAATAATCGCTAATAGTCCGTTTGAAAATCTGTCAGAAGAGAAGCAAATGGATACCGACAAAAAATCTAAGGAAATT